ACTTTCACAAATTCATAACTTTCTCTTTTTTGTTGGTTTCATTCAAGCTTTCACCAGTCTGCTTCTTTGATTATTCTGATTTATTTTAGAGTAGTTTGCTATCAAGCTTTGTTTTCACGTTAATTACAGCTTAGCCATCTTCATGTATATGCTTAAATGCTTACTTCATGCAAGCTTGGATACATTGAATGTGTTTGTCTGTTTGGAGCTACAGTTTTAACAATTATACATGTTAATGCCTTTCTCGCTCTAAACATGATTGGGACAATATCTTGATAATTCTTCTCTAATACAACACAAATTATGTTCCTTCAAGTTAGAAGATACAACCTTTGATGTCAGAACGTAGTTCAATGTTGCAGTGGCAATCTTGGTAGCAATTGTTTTACACTAGCCAATTGGCATTACATTTCTTCAGGAAGATAGTGGAGTTTGAACATGGCTTCAGACAGAGAAGATTGGATGGGAGTGAGCTACTGTCTGATGTGAAGCCTTGATGAGAAGCCTTGATGCCAGTCAGTCACTTAATGCTAGAAGGGCCCTCAACTAGAATCCATAGAGAAGTTGCTTGCCTATCAAGCTACATCATGTCTGGAAGGCATCACCTCTTCATCAATGTCTCTGGTTACAAGTAGGCCTTGAGCTCCAGCCAGGCCAGGCCAGGCCAGGCCAGACGAGATGACCTCAGAAGACATGCCACTCAAAGGTCTGAGCCCTCATTCATCTAGACTACACGCACAATAGTGAGGTCCCCATGACAGACAGTACAGCTACTTTTTAAGTTGAGGTCGCTATTTTAAACTTAAGGAACCTGGCGGACACACTCATGATTACAAAAGTTTAAGTTAACTCAAAGTTACAAACCAAGTCAGATCTTAAGGTTAACGTGGTAACTTTGAGCAGCTGGAGGGGAGGGGGGGGGGGGGGGGGTCCTCACTCAAAGATATGTACCGTGCAGACACAATTAATTTTGAGGCTACGCCAGCTTGTAGTTAAAATGAATACTCATTGTTTTGGTCCCGTGTAAACTAATGCCTTGTCATTCTTTGGTCTTGTTTGAACATAACTATTGGCTCTGTATTGTAATGTACATGAGCTGTGCTATGGCTTCTTAATTCATTCGGTTTCATTTGGGGATATTTTTCTTCTTCCCTCAATATACTTGCACGTATACCAGTACCGTTACATGAAAGTGATCAAACTTGGTACATGTACATGGTGTGTACAAATGACTAATTGATGTGACCTACAAGATGGAAATCATTATACATGTTCATTTACATTTCGGCTACAAAACATTCATGTGGTTGATTGTTATTAAATGTACATACATAAAATGCACTTAACTGAATATTTGATATTGTCATAATTACTGAGGCAATAGAAGTTTGACCACAAAATAACGTTACGAGCAGTCAGTAAAATCATAAATTGAAAGGACTTTCTTTCCTGTAACTTGAGATGCATGTATCGATCTCCAAGTTTCCCTTCCATGTTCTTGTTAAAAGCCTAGAGCTTAACTAATGGAAGAATGTAATGATAGTGTGTAGCAGAGAATCTTCTCATCAATTTGTCATGTAACAATCTACAAGATTGCGTATTCTGCCATTGTCAAGGTCGGTGAATATACCCATCGATAGTGTTATTATGGTTTGTTGGTACTCATTGTGTTGTGCACAATCCCTGTATGTGGAAGTGCATGATAGGATGACAGGCGCTGCTAGAGGGGCAATGAGAAATCATTGGCTATGGGAACATGAGTGTCCTGGCAGCTGGGCTAAAGGCATGCATAATTTTGTGAGTGCTTGTGGTTAAATATGCATGTGTAGCTAGACGAGTAGAAATCAATAGAAAGCATGCGTGGATGAACTCCGCGCGGCCGGACCCTGCCTGAAGACCATCCAGGGTGTCTCTCTCTCTGCCATAGTTTACCCCAGCCCCAGCTCTTCTCTTTGTAGCCATTCCTCAGAAAGCTAGGATCCCACTCAGATCTCAAACTGTATCAGTTTTCTGTTCTGGTCTGTTATCCACAAATTTCTTTCTGTCGTTCTTGTTCTTCTATTAAAGCTCATGGAATAATTCCACTGTTTTCTGAATATTATACCATACTTCTCCAACTTCTATAAAACCTTAGGTAAACAGTAAATATTGACTGCGCATGAGGATTGATGCGGGTGGAAATTATCACTCCCTCAATGGTGTTCATACTGTCCTTCTATCACTCCAAGGCAAAGCATACATTGTATGAGGTATATAATGGTGTTCATATCGTCCTTCTATCACGCTGAGGCAGAGCATACATTGTATGAGGTATATAATGGTGTTCATACCATCCTTCTATCACCCCAAGGCAAAGCATACATTGTATGAGGTATATAATGGTGTTCATACCATCCTTCTATCACCACAAGGCAAAGCATACATTGTATGAGGTATATAACGGTGTTCATACTGTCCTTTTATCACCACAAGGCAAAGCATACATTGTATGAGGTATATAATGGTGTTCATACCATCCTTCTATCACCACAAGGCAAAGCATACATTGTATGAGGTATATAATGGTGTTCATACCATCCTTCTATCACCCCAAGGCAAAGCATACATTGTATGAGGTATATAACGGTGTTCATACTGTCCTTTTATCACCCCGAGGCAGAGCATACATTGTATGAGGTATATAACGGTGTTCATACCATCCTTCTATCACCACAAGGCAAAGCATACATTGTATGAGGTATATAATGGTGTTCATACCGTCCTTCTATCACCACAAGGCAAAGCATACATTGTATGAGGTATATAATGGTGTTCATACTGTCCTTTTATCACCCCGAGGCAGAGCATACATTGTATGAGGTATATAATGGTGTTCATACCATCCTTCTATCACCCCAAGGCAAAGCATACATTGTATGAGGTATATAATGATGTTCATACCGTCCTTCTATCACCCCAAGGCAAAGCATACATTGTATGAGGTATATAATGGTGTTCATACCATCCTTCTATCACCCCAAGGCAAAGCATACATTGTATGAGGTATATAATGATGTTCATACCGTCCTTCTATCACCCCAAGGCAAAGCATACATTGTATGAGGTATATAATGGTGTTCATACTGTCCTTTTATCACCCCGAGGCAGAGCATACATTGTATGAGGTATATAATGGTGTTCATACCATCCTTCTATCACCCCAAGGCAAAGCATACATTGTATGAGGTATATAATGGTGTTCATACTGTCCTTTAATCACCCCGAGGCAGAGCATACATTGTATGAGGTATATAATGGTGTTCATACCATCCTTCCTTTCACCCCGAGGCAGAGCATACATTGTATGAGGTATATAATGATGTTCATACCGTCCTTCTATCACCCCAAGGCAAAGCATACATTGTATGAGGTATATAATGGTGTTCATACTGTCCTTTTATCACCCCGAGGCAGAGCATACATTGTATGAGGTATATAATGGTGTTCATACCATCCTTCTATCACCCCAAGGCAAAGCATACATTGTATGAGGTATATAATGGTGTTCATACCATCCTTCTATCACCCCAAGGCAAAGCATACATTGTATGAGGTATATAATGGTGTTCATACCATCCTTCTATCACCCCAAGGCAAAGCATACATTGTATGAGGTATATAATGGTGTTCATACTGTCCTTTTATCACCCCGAGGCAGAGCATACATTGTATGAGGTATATAATGGTGTTCATACCATCCTTCCTTTCACCCCGAGGCAGAGCATACATTGTATGAGGTATATAATGGTGTTCATACCATCCTTCTATCACCCCAAGGCAAAGCATACATTCTATGAGGTATATAATGGTGTTCATACCATCCTTCTATCACCCCAAGGCAAAGCATACATTGTATGAGGTATATAATGATGTTCATACCGTCCTTCTATCACCCCAAGGCAAAGCATACATTGTATGAGGTATATAATGGTGTTCATACCATCCTTCTATCACCCCAAGGCAAAGCATACATTGTATGAGGTATATAATGATGTTCATACCGTCCTTCTATCACCCCAAGGCAAAGCATACATTGTATGAGGTATATAATGGTGTTCATACTGTCCTTTTATCACCCGAGGCAGAGCATACATTGTATGAGGTATATAATGGTGTTCATACCATCCTTCTATCACCCCAAGGCAAAGCATACATTGTATGAGGTATATAATGGTGTTCATACCATCCTTCTATCACCCCAAGGCTGAGCATACATTGTATGAGGTATATAATGGTGTTCATACCATCCTTCTATCACCCCGAGGCAGAGCATACATTGTATGAGGTATATAATGGTGTTCATACCATCCTTCTATCACCCCGAGGCAGAGCATACATTGTATGAGGTATATAACGGTGTTCATACCATCCTTCCTTTCACCCCGAGGCAGAGCATACATTCTATGAGGTATATAACGGTGTTCATACCATCCTTCTATCACCCCAAGGCAAAGCATACATTGTATGAGGTATATAATGGTGTTCATACCGTCCTTCCATCACCCTGAGGCAGAGCATACATTGTATGAGATTTATAATTGGTGTTCATACCGTCCTTCTATCACCCCGAGGCAAAGCATACATCGTATGAGGTACATGTATATAAATTAAAATAGAAACAATTGAGGTGAATATGCAATGCTATGGTTGAACCTTTTTTGACAAGGGTATTTTCCTCAGGAATGATCCTCACCATTTTCATTGTTTTCTTCTTTCATACATATAAAGCTCTTTAATATTACTAATGTTTGTAAGTTCTGCACCATTATTACCCCCGGTTTTAACCAAGATATTCAGAGCCAAAAGGGCTTTAACCCTATTAAAGTATATTGGTTAACGCACTTCTAGCTCTAAACAGATCATATTCACGATGTATGTATGTTTAAATATCTGAATTTGTGATTTGAACTTTTGCATAAATTTCATACTTATTTTCTTTTCTTTTATATATTTGTATACAGGTGTACAAACAGAAAGCTATTCAGATTGCTGATAAACTATTACCTGCCTTCAACACTCCAACAGGAATACCTTTTGGTCTGGTCAACCTGAAAACGTGAGTAAAGGGGACTTTTACCCTGCGTTCAGTTTTCCAGAATTCATTGAATAAATATATAAGAGTTGTATACATGTAGCTATAAGATACCTATTTAATTTTTTCCCTAGCTTGAACGTTTTATAAAGAAACATTTAACAAAATGTTTGTATAACTAAACATCTTATAGCGAAATGCCTGATTGAGCATCCTTAAAATTGGAAAACTCAATAAAGAATCAGCATCCTGCTCTAGTGTTAATGTCGTGTCTTACACAAATGGTGAAACTGGGCCAGGCTCATTGTCAGTGGGCACTGCTGATTGGCCAGGCTCATCGTCAGTGGGCACTGCTGATTGGCCAGGGTCATCATCAATGGGCACTGCTGATTGGCCAGGCTCATCATCAGTGGGCACTGCTGATTGGCCAGGGTCATCATCAGTGGGCACTGCTGATTGGCCAAGCTCATCATCAGTGGGCACTGTTAATTGGCCAGGCTCATCATCAGTGGGCACTGCGGATTGGCCAGGCTCATCATCAGTGGGCACTGCTGATTGGCCAGGCTCATCACCAGTGGGCACTGCTGATTGCCTAGGCTCATCATCAGTGGGCACTGCTGATTGGCCAGGCTCATCATCAGTGGGCACTGCTGATTGGCTAGGCTCATCATCAGTGGGCACTGCTGATTGGCCAGGCTCATCGTCAGTGGGCACTGCTGATTGGCCAGCTCTAATGTCATCTCACCTCTTCAAAATTAGTTTCTTTATACAATGCTGTTTTCTAGTCTCTGTGCTCCTCTGGCTATAGCCAGGGTAATAATAAATGTGACTCGGAATAGAATTGTCTAGATAGATGGCGCTATAGAAATGCCTATTATTATTATTATTATTATTATTATTATTATACAATGATTCTCTATACCAGGTTTTTTTTACATGAGTTTGGTATAAATTTACTTTATTCTGAAGAGTTTATTAAAGGTTTTGTTGGTCACATTCCAATTTCTTTTCAGTATTTTAGATATCAGCCATTAATGTACTTCTCAACATCAAAACAACTTTGACAAAATCACTTTCTCAGTTTCTCAAACTGTCACATGTTTGGTTTCAAAAGATAATTATATTAAACTTTGCAGAAATACATTTGATTGGCATGTAAGCAGATATTTCATTTAGAAACCAGTAAGACTTTCTAACTGGACAGTATTTGGACGTTGGTATATTTGCATTTGTACCCCATGCCACAATTTTTTCCAGCTCTCAATTGCTTCATCTATTAAGCTAAAAGGGGTGTAGATTTCATAGAATGTGGCCTAGGATGGATGGTAGCCCCCAGTCATATCTTAACATCTATACAGACAGACACGTGCTAGTACACACCATCTCTGTAACTCCATACTCCCAACCATATCAACTGTCATACCAACTGTCATACCAAATATTAATCCCAGCCAAAATATTCTACGTCAGATTTTGCAGCAGCAGGCATTCTTGGGTTGTCTTCAATATCTTGTGGGCAAATAATATAACAGGTAAACACAAGACAAACGTCTTACATGCATTGGACACACCTGTTATTGGAAGCCAAACATTTTGTTTTTTAAAAACTTTATTAGTAGATCTACGAAACAAATGATAAAGGTGGTCTATGCATAAGCAGTAGTTAAGGTGGTTGTTTATTTAATAGACATACATGTTGGGATTAGTTTATACTCAACACTGCTTACATAAATTGATCAATAATCTATTGAGTTTTTTGTGCATATGGAGTTCAATAATGTCTATTGGATCCTTGAAAGTTTTATTTGCTTTTCGGAAAAGGGAAGACAGAACGGTTTACAACCATACTACTATATGAAACTGTTGGATTCAATGATATTGAATGCAAAACAATGTAGAAGTACAATTGCAAAATCTTAAATTGATTTTACCAAAAACATTAGAAATAATCATTTAAAACAAATAAAAACCTCTTTACCTTGACAATTTCCTTTCAAAATTGTTCAATATTTTTTACCATTGATAGATCATCATTGCGCTCAATAAATCTTTCTTTATTATTATTATTATTATCATTATGAAATTCTATCACAGAAGAAATGATACACCTTTATTTTATTTTATTCTTTTAATTACATGTTACCCAACAAATTGTTAATGGAAGTAAGACTCTTTGATGATATGAGTTACTCATGATATTTGATGTAAAAATGTCCTTTGCTTTCACAGTGGGAGTGCAAGAAATTGGGGATGGGCATCAGGCGGCTCTTCCATTCTCTCAGAGTTTGGCTCCCTCCACCTGGAATTTACTTATCTCTCGGAGATCAGCCAAGACCCTAAATACAAGCAGAAGGTATGTATTTTATTTATTTATTTATTTTATTTCCAGGTAAGATGAGAACATACAAAACATCACAAGGTTGACAAAATGATAAAACATTAACCTAATGATATTTAGCACCAGCCAATGCCTGAGGGTCACCTAAAAGAATTTAAAAATTCTGTCTAGATGCTCTCCACATTGGCTGGTGCATACATGAAACAAAATATAAAGATACGGTCAACATAATTTATAAATGAATGTGTAACTAAAATTAACCCTCATATTAGTCACATGTGAGGGAGATGTGAGGGAGATGTGAGGGAGATCAGGGGGGCAAGGAATATGAGCCCCTCCCCCTCCTTTACTTGCCAAGTTTATCAGATACTTGTGAAGATGTGCTTCTCTGTCCAAAGTATCCTTGTTATTATACCAATGAGAATTTTCCTGTGAATAGGTTGTACGGTGAGGCAAGGAACATGTACCCCTCTACTCAAAGAATCTTTGAACCACTACTGGGCAGTTTACTTCTCAAAGCACTTTATGCAGAGCTCTCAGAGATCTCTATCAGAGAGTTCTATTAGAAAGCTATCTCAGGAGGGATGTACAAGTCAGGCTTTTAGTATTGGCTTGAGGGAACTCTGACAAAAAATATTCTTTACAAAACGCACACTTATTGGAAACCAAAAATTGAGATTTATTTGCATGGGAAGCTGTGAAATAAGTTCCCTAAAAAAGACTGAATTTTAGATGCCAAAAAATGAGTAATTTCAATAAATAAATTTTTGTGTGAATAATCAAAAATTAGAATGTTATAAATATTGAAAGGTTCTTTCCACAAATACCTCACAATCAATGACTGAGAAATATTTGAGAAATATTAAACTTTCTTTGTTCTTTTGAAGAAGTAGAAATGATCTGTTTACATATTTTCTACAGGTGGACAAGATTCGACAAGTCTTGAAGGATGTGAAAAGAGCTGATGGTCTCTACCCAAATTTCCTCAACCCGAAGACTGGAAAATGGGGACAGAGTATGTATCCAAGTGAAAATAATGTGGTGTATGAAATTGGGTGTTTGTAAGGGCAAGCCAAGTATCACATAATGTTCATTAATTTTGTTTTGCAATACAATTTCTATTTCTACATGGAAGCAGTTCACACATCCATGCATCTCATTGTTTATCGCTGTAGGCAACCTACAGTAGAGTAGAAAAAACAAATGCATACATGTATGCAATTTGCAAAGTACCCTCTTTTTAATGGAACAATGAATTTTATATGCATCATTTTATAACGTTATACATTGTGTACAACGCAAGTGAATAACACAGAATTTTTTACCACCAGTCTTGAATTTAAAAGAAACCTCACTATTCAGGCTTTTAACCGTCTTCCGGCTTGAATTATCAACTCAACTTAGAAAAAGAAGAAAAAAACAAATGAGGGGGAATTAGTTATTTTGATTATTGGTTCATATATTCAGTTGTATCTGATTTGTTATCTTGGTGGGGTGTTTGATATTGTATCTGTTTTGTTTTGTTGAGCAAGTCTGAAATTGTATCTGTTCTGGTTTGTTTTATTGTGCAGTGCACGTCTCCTTGGGGGCCCTAGGAGACAGCTTCTATGAATATCTTCTCAAGTCTTACATCATGTCAGGAGGTAAAGACCAAGAAGGAAAACAGATGTACTTCAGTGCTCTAGAGGTAAGTCATCTCATGTATTCCTCAGTCTCCTTTCTACTTCTGACTTGTGATTCAGATGGCAAGAAGTTCTGCAGTGCTTTGGGTTTTGTTCGCTTGTGTCTGACATTCATGAATATTTGAAGAAATGATGATTGACATGAATAGACTGAGAGCGCAGACCTTGGTTTCTCATAGATTAGAATTGTGGACTTGAGGTGGGGTCATAACACCATGTAACTCAACATCTAGACATTTGTTTTCTTTTTTCCCATTGTTTTATGGTTAGGGACTGATTTAATTTCCTGATAAGATTTTGTAACACTTATGTGCAAAAATAAGGATGAATTGGCCTTTATGAAGTAATGAATGTTTTTCCTCTCCAGACAATAAAGGATTTTGTAGTTACAAGGTGTTATCAACCCACTGAAGATATGTTTGCTAAGTGTAGATACAGGTATAGTGTCATGTGAGGGACCTACAATGTATATCTCAGAGATGATATCCCATGTCTTGAAGTTCACATATATTTTGTGCTGAGAGGGAGAGAGAGAGGGGGAGAGAGAGGGAGAGAGAGGGAGAGAAAGAGAGACACAGATGGAGAGACACAGACAGATGAAGAGAGACAAAAAGATCCCCAAATATGTAGCCCTCTTTTCCACCATCATTAAACCATCCCCCATCCCAATAGTGTATGAAGGTTCAATATTGAGACAGTAAAACTAAAATATAAAGTATACAAATAAAAAGAAATGACTACAGTGTGGTTAATGTTCCTCCCAGATTTGAAATCGCTGATTTTTTTACTTCGATGAAAGTCTCATCGGTAAACGGAGCCCTGTATTGATCTGTTTGAATTATCTCAAAAAATTTGCATTTGAAATGAGTTATATAAATATTTGCCAAGTTGAGCTACATGTACATGTATGGTATGCTGGATTGATTCAACTTTTGTTTACATTGTGCCAAGATGTACACTTGAAGTGCTTCTCCCATCCTCCTAGTGCCCTTTATTCTCAGATACGTATCATACTTGTCTTGAAATGTCTTCATGTGTTATTCATGTGTGTGTGCTGACTACCTTATGTGTTTGTCTGTTTGATGAGGTAAAGGTTTCCCAGGTCATCTCTGAAATATGAACCATTTAGAAAGGAAAGACGAGATCTACATGCATGTCTTCAGAGGGTCCTTTCATATTAAAGGTTACATCTACATGTACAGTACATGTACATCTCTTGTTTCCTCTCTCATGTAAAACGGTTTTTATTAAATCCTCATTTGGGGTCTTGTTTCACCCTGTACTCAGAGATCATTCCTATGGAGAAATACGTATTGTGAAATTGGTAAAGCTATAGAATCATTGCTAAAAAAGATGGGTAGTTTTCCAATTCTGAACTGGGGTTGAACATAGGTAACTGTGAGTCTATCAGAACATCCCTAAATCAAGTGGTACCTCATTTACTGTGGTTCTTAGGAAAAGTATGAAAGTTTGATTTTCTTGTGAGTAAAGTCCATGTTAGGACAGATGTATGTTTCTCATTGCCTCTCCAATCATTATCTTGTATGTAAGTCCAGACCATGCAGTTAGCTGGAGTTAGCTCTCTGTTCTTCCAGAAGAAAAATAGCCACACCTGTGTGCCCTCATATGCTTCAAATTTTAAACTTATCCCTTCACTTTTGGTATTGACATATTAACAGAGCCATATGCTGTATGTCTAAGACGTAAATGTACTTAAGGCTATCGCTCTTATGAGGCTGCGCCCATTTATATGGCATCAAGTTAAAACAGGTCTGCGATCTTATTTCTCGGGTGCGCTGGCAAGCAAATATATATATATATATATATTATGCCATAAGGAGCACTTTTGTTAACTTTAGGGACACTATCAGAGTGTCTGTAAGTATTTCTTGATTTATGGGGTGCAGAATCACATGTCAGGTGTGGTTTGAAAGAGATATGGAGTAAGTGAATGATTTTATGATTGGAAGTGATGTAAGTCATCTAGTCTAGTTTCAAGACATTTACAAAGATTTATTGCGAGCATCTATTACATTGACTTTTGGTAAGGTATTACACAAAGATAGCTTGAACCATCTGGATGTTTTCCTTGTCTTGTCAATTATGTTTGGTTATGCCTGAGACAAACACGCATAATCTCCATCTTTCATGCATTCGCGAGCATCTTACTCCACAGGCCACCAAGCAGGTAGTTCATGCTCTTGTCACTTCGAGATTGGACTTATATAAGTACACTCCACGGATTACCTGACTTGCAAATTAGACGTCTGCAGAAGGTTCAGAACTCGGCAGCACGCCTCATCACTGGTTCTAAATCCTCGGATCACATTACACCAGTACTCAAACAATTGTACTGGCTCCCAGTGAGACAGAGGCTAGACGACAAACTACTATCCTTGATATTCAAAATCAAGTCAAATCAGGCTCTTAGCTACATGATGGAGATGGTAGAATTGAGGAAGCCTTCGAGACGTCTCCGCTCGGGAAATGTTGACCAGTACAAAGTACCACGGTGTAAAAGATCATGGGGTGATAGGTCATTTTGCGTTGCTGCCCCATTTGCATGGAATGCATTACCCTTGGACTTGAGGTTAAGCTCATCAATTAGAACCTTTCAACAAAAATTGAAGACCTTGTTGATGAATAAGGCGTAGGCTACTGTTAGTGTTAGGATTATTATTTGAGTTAGAATATTTTGTATTAATTTTTGTTATTAGTACATGTAGTATATCTGTAGTTATGTTGACCATTTGTCGCCTTTTCATTTTGTAATATAATTTGTTGAATTTTGATTAATGACCATATTCTTGTAATGTATTTGATTTGTTGACTATATTCTTGTAATGTATTTGATTTGTTGTCCATATTCTTGTAATGTATTTGATTTCTTGACCATATTCTTATAATGTATTTGATTTGTTGATCTGTGCGCCAAGTGTGCCATTACATGTATGTTGGCAGAGTTGTGCGCAATATAAATCTAGAATTATTATTATTATTTTGGCAAGGGGTTGGAACCTAGGACCTTTTGTATAGGAGGACTTTGATCAGTTGAGGACAAGGTCAGTTGTATGTTATACATGTATCTAGTCAAACTTCATTTGACAATTTGATACAGATCTATCAAATTTCCTGGCAATATTGCCCTTCTTTGGAGATTGTGTTTGACTTGTATGCAAAACTCTCTAGATATTTGTATGTGAATGTGCAATTACACCTGCAGTGATATGGTGACACATGAAACTTGTCTTTTTAAACATTCATGGTTATTTTAGAGCTTCACTTGTTTAATAAATGAGCTGTGTGTAAAGAGTGGTTGGTGTCAAGCAAGCTACATTACACTTCAACAAAGAGTGGCCCATTTATTTGTTTCCTCGCTTTGCCATCTCAGTCAGCGAGTCTTCTTTAGTTTAGATTGCCTTTTGACGGTGTTTATGTACTGTTGTTGAAGAATCTAAGAATGTACATGTATGTACCTGGCTTGATTCAAGTAGTTTGAGGTTGAAATTAAGCACAGATACTTGAGAGGTGATAACTACTTGAAGATCTACACAAAGATGAAGTACACTCAGTGTCAGCTCGAGATGAAACAAAAGTTTTCTGACATTTGCTCCCACATTTTCTTCATAATTTTCTTCATAATTTTGTATGAAGATGTAAGGTAATGTCGTCTGCTGCATACAGGTTTTTGGTTAGGTTTTAAGGGTAGGTTAGGGTATCATGCTGGGTTAGGAATTAGGCCTGTTTATAACTTATAAACATGGAGAGATTATCTACTGAGCATAGGTTGTGTGGTCATTGTGAAAACTCAGCACTTATATGTATTTAGGAGGGTAGACTTATGAAATCAGAATCTTGTGCTATATGTCAAGTATTGGATTGTTATCAGAAATCAGGGTTAATTAGTTATTCCTTATTTACCGTATAGGGTAGGCCTATCATTATCATAATAATGGTCCGTTTTCACTCAAACTTTCGGATTATCTTTAAAGGTAATACAAAGTTTTGGGAAATTTTGAAAATTTGGTAGATAGTGAATCTTTACAATTTTGATATATTTGAATGCCCCTGTGGATGTATTATAATCACTAAAAAAATTAGCCCCTAAAACACTTCTGTTTTCGAGAAAAATTGAATATAAAAATTTAGCATACGCTTCCAATATGTTAATTTGAACCAAATTCATGACCCCATACCAAAACTTTGTAATACCTTTAATTGTACATCTAGCATTGAAGTCACTACCTTAGCACCATTTTCTCTCATCTGAACAATGCTACATTGCCCTTCATGCTCTAAACAGATACATGTAGGTGCCTCACACGGTGCTCCAACATGATACTGTATGCTCTCATGACATTTGCTTGGTTTACTTTATCAAAGATGAAGGGTATTAAAGTATTACAAAGTTTTGGTATGAGGTCATGAACATATTGGAAGCATATGCGTTCCTACAGTATTCATTGATCGTTGTCGCGGTTGAAATCGAGTCTAAAGTTATGAAATTATAAATAATAAACTCTTTATGTCGTATAGCTCCCTCTCAAGGTCAAGATATTAATTTAGCTATGAAACAATGTTTAATGACTAAAATCGACCTATTACCTATTCCCGTTTGGAAATTATATATCACAATTACATATTCTGAGATTAAAATGGTAGCAGCTACCATTGTACGGCCATATAGGCGTCATTTGAAATTTATCTAAATTTACTGGGAGCACCAGTAAATTTGTATATTCAATTTTTCTCGAAAACAGAAGTGTTTTAGGGGCTAATATTTTTAGTGCTTATAATACATCCACAGGGGCATCCAAATATATCAAAATTGTAAATATTCACTATCCACCCAATTTTCAAATTTACCAAAACTTTGTATTACTTTTAAAGGGTGAAGGTTGCAATTTGGTTTTAGGTGAGGATTGGGTTAGTATTGTGGTCCAGAGTTGAAATCATGAATGTGGTGAGTGTATGGTAATGTCTGCTGAGTAGATGTAACCAGAGC